TACGAAAGGATATCACTAAAACAATTAAAAAACACCCAGAGCAGTAGTTTTTGGCAGAAAAAATTATATAGAAACGTAATACGATACTTTCTTGACAAAGAGCAACCGAAATTACAGGATAGTTTGAGCCGTTTTTTTCTGAATTGCTCTTTAAAGATAGGAATGTTCAAGATGGAAATTAAAGTTATACATATCTTTGCCCAAATTCCCCACATTTAAGGTGTGACGAACGCTATTTAACAAGACTGGACAAACAAGAATGTATAACGAACGAGTGAGCTAATTTTTAAGTGACTATGTATACAAACGATCGTTAGTAATTCTTTATCGATTTTTTGAGGGAATCATCGTTTACATTTATATTACTTACAGACGATGATATCGTGAAATAGTAAGATCAAAATCGAGCAATGATTACTTCGGTTTTCGTCCGCTATTTGCCACACTGTGGATCGATGCGATCGACTAGCTCAGAAAGTGAAATTGGTAGATTGCACGTTTCTAATCGAAAGCAGGGTAACCACTGAATTCATTACGTAAGATCGCGTACACGTCGTTGTTTCAAAATCATTTGCCATTATCTAGTTTTGTACTCTATTTAATGTAGTTTGTCCTCCTTTAGAAATTCGAACTTTCCATTCTAATAATAAGGAATGAATGAAGTTTTATATAAGTTGGTAATAGTAAGAATAATTAATAGTAATTGAAATTAAAAGCTAGATACATTTTGTTTTCTCGTTATACTGATATACTAAAATATACTTAGTAAAGCGCAAAGGACATATCTTTTTTTCATTATTAGGGTTTCCTAATAAATGAAATATTTCTTCTTAGAATTTCATAGAATAATCCAAGTTTCGAGCTAGTATTTTGCCACTTAGATATACCCTGTTTAATCATGCTGGTACTTTTCAAAGAAATACGTCTAAAACATTAAAATTGGCAAAAGTTTCCTTTCTATCTTGATTCTAATTCTTCTAAAATAGATAATTTCTCAAACTACTGAATACGATTAAATTGTCCAGAATTGTATATATTTCCTTATTTGGCCAACTTTTGTGAAGATTTACATCTTGAACGTAGAAATTAGAATTTTTAAAATAATCGATGATAATTCAATCCTATTATTGGACTGAGTATACTACGCTATCGAGCGACTAATTAGCCAAGAAATTATTATTATATGTAATATCGCATATGTAATTAATTAGATAGGAAACATTGGCAGTAATCGTTTTACGGTATATGAACAATAACTCATTCGAATTCAATGATTACCCTAGATAATTGTTATTTTCGTTGCATTTCATTATACCCTAATACGTCTTAAATAATTCTCCTTTAATAATTCTAATTCTATAGGATCGAACAAGCTGAGCCATTTTTATATAAAGATCCCTTGCTAAAGTATTTGGACCTTAAAAGGAAAAAAACAGATAACAAAAAAAATGCCAATTAGTTTAATTTAGAAATAATATTAACAGTAATAGTAATAATAATAATTTTGAAATATAAATTCCAAACGAGGAAATTAAATATAAAACACTGTAAATAAATTGCTATTACAAAATACTTGTAAGTATTTCTAAAATATATACAACTAATTTTCGTTCTGAGAAACAAACTTTAATTTAAACAAAAAATTATTTAATAAAAAATGTAGATACAAAAGATACGCTAAAAAACAAAATTGAATTTTGTCTACATACAAATTATTCGTAATCTTTTATATCTAATTTCCTCAAACTTTTTGCATTTTTTGTACGCTATAAAAGTGTATTGTCCAACACAATACCTTTGTTTATTAATGTAGCAAATATCAAATATATAGACGAATTTGTACATAAGGTTACACGATGCCTTCACTAATCAGGATAATAAAGAAATAAATTGTTGCTCTAACATTAAACGAAGTCCAAACATATTAGTTGTGCGAGTAATCGAAATTGTAACACGTGGTCTCTGTACCTTTCATATCGCGAATTGAATAAGGTCACGCAATGAAATTGACACACGACACAGAGTAGGGCGCCGTTTCACGAATTTTCGCTCCCATTATTCGTAAATCAGTCGTAAAACAAAATACATCAGTCGTCAAAAAATAAGTTTCTAAAATAAATTCCTCAAATTATTCCACAATCGCTTACCTAATTCAAATCTCTTTTTTGTCAAATAAAAGAAATACAATTATAAATCAATCATTATCAAATAACCAAAAGTTAAGATAAATTTCAAAATTTGAACAAAAATAAAACACTTATTTTCGCATCTTCTCATTCTCAATTTTTCCAGTAACAAATTTTTCACATAAAATATTCGATATTAAAACATATTTTATAATCGCATTGGAATAAGTAAATTTAATAATAACCCAAGAATACTGCCCAGCCCTTCTGCAGCTGCGTAAAGCACAATCGCTCAGCTCAGCAACAACTACGGCGAATCATCGAACCTATTATACAATATCTGAACAGCCTACAATCGAAAGCAGTCTTTTAAAATCGAAATCGTACACGGACAGCGGCAGCTGTCTAATTAAAACGGTCTCTGAAATCTACGATTCTCATGTTCGCATTGTAACAAATAAATTGCTGACAAATTCCCTTTCGACGTTATACCTATTCACTGGACCGTGTACCACGTATCATATAAGATGATCAAACGTTCCCGCTCGTACATTAAACTCACTGAATGATGAGCAGACCGCGGATCTTTATGCAATTGTATGTTTTTGTTAATATTACAAAAAGAAATAGTACTTAATGATATATAATGGCTTAAAGATATATTTCACCCATTAAATGTTATAACAAGCATGTACTTGCTTTTGAATATTTCTTATATTTTTGCATGTTATATCCATTTTGCACATTTTTACATCTTTAAATTTTCCATCGATACGTAACGAAAGAAAAAATTGTTCACGATGTAATTGGAATAATTGTAACAAGAATAATTAAGTTTGCAAATTTTTGTTCGGTATTCGCTATTAAATGTAGTTGCATCAAGAATAGTTTAATAGTTCTTACAGTGGGTAATAACTGAAATAGTAAATCTGACTATAATTAAAAAAAATGTCGCTTTGGACATTTCTTACATTCCTGCACCTGGAAATTTCCTATAAATGCATAAAAATTCGCAGTCTAATGTGATAAATTTCGATCTATGTGATAGATATAAATATAAATATAAATATATATATATTTATATTTATATATAAATATATATATATTTATATTTATATATAAATATATATATATAGAATATAGTCTGTGTGTTCATTGAAACTCGTATTCATATAAGAGGATGGTGTTTAATCAAAAGACAACTTATTGTCACGTAAATTTGGCACAGAAATTAGCAACAAGCCGCTGCACGTGTACGCTATGCTTCGAAGAATCGTCAGATCGTAGTACACTCAGTGTGATGCTAGTAAATATCGCTATTTAAAGCTTACGTGAAAGTCACAGTGTACGATTAACGGGTTTATAATGTATTATCACGATTCGCCAGCGCGTGTACTTCGAATGCCGCTGAAAAACGGAAAGTTCGCTCTCTCCCTTCGTTCTGTCACGATCATCACACAGTTCGCTTTTCTCTTGTACGCTCGCTCGCAAGTTTTCGCGCTATTTACAACAGTCGTTGATTCTCGAATCGCCGGTTCCGACCCGAGCAACTTTATACTCAATTGTCTTTCTAATAAAGGAAGAAAGTGGAGCAACAACGTTTTTTTCAGAACATATTTCGAGTGGAAGAAATGTAAATTAGTTGACCAAATACGTAATGTTTCGCATATTTCAATATACATTTTAATATTTCAATGGAAATTTGAAAGGGTTGATTAGGTTGAATTACGTTTGTGTGGAATAAAAATATTTCACAATTTCTCTTAATTCGTTTAAAAACTTTCATAGTTTTCTTTTTCCTTTTTTACATATTTCGATAGAAATTCGAAAGAGTCGATTATAGTTTATTAAGTTTTTACGTTTTAACAATTTTTCGGAATTTGTATTTATTCCTTATAATTTCTTGTATTTTTGTCCCACATATTTCAATACACATTCCAGCGGAAATTCCAAGAAGTTGATTAGATTGAATGAAAGTTTTGTGTCTTAAAGGTGTTTCGATATTTCTATCAATTCGTTTATTCGAGTATTGAGATTATGAGTATTGACATCGCGTTTGTCGTAGTAATTTCTCCCACTAAGAATACGTATTGATGCAAACGTCTCTCCTTCCAACGAAAGAGTTTCGTCGATAGAATATGATAGTAGTTTAAACAAGATCACGACCCACCTATCGCTAGTCCCATTGTCGCTGGTTTGATATTAAACATTTAGATACCGCTATTTGATCACTATCGCTGAGCGAATATTTGATATAATGCACAGTTAGCCGACTCATATGGGCTATTTAATTTCCTTTTCCTTCTTTTTTTCTTATTCTCAGTCTATGGTATTCGCATTTTCTCGCCGATCTTCATAGGCTTCTCCTTAATGCCTTTAACTATCTAAGAATCTTGCGTTCTCACCTAAAAAGAGTATATTCCAAAATTAAATACATATATATATGTATATATGTATATACAATATATTAATACAAATATTTATATTTTATAACTCGATACCGAGATATTCTTTAACTCTCACAGCTATAGTGGGTGCGACGATTTGCTTTTAGTTCAAAGAATTGTACGATTTCGATATATAAAAGTAAAACATAATTCTGAAATAAATTCTTTTGTTGGTTCCTTTGCTAAAACTGCTTCTGAAGATCAAATAATATACAAATAAAGGAGCTAAGTGTTAATGTGAAGGTTAAGCGGCCCCTCATTTATACAGCAAGTCTTAGACTTTTAATGTACAAAATTTTTATATTTGATTGTTTTACATTAGGTTTCGAGTATAAGCAGCGCAAAATTGCACTTCTCGCATGGGCCTTTTATCTTAAACGATGTTTGTGTCGCTTATAGATTTCAAATAAAGTAGACACACCTCATGTCTTGTAACAAAGTTTATTTCAAAATTTCAACAAATTCTTACACTATGAATCACTCTGTTCTCGCTTGTACCATAAAACTCGTCGCATCCAGTATAGTCTATAGATGACTCTGACAATAATCTTCCCCCTTTTACAAACCGATTTAGTCCGATCTAATCAAGAATACGAATTGCACTATACTTATACAAATGTGTTATAAAATGTAGATATAACTTCTCATAAAGAAATATTTGTGTAGATCATTCATATGCGTTATGAATATTTAAATAATTATTAACAACTATTCTACTACAACTAAATATTTTAAAGGATATTAACTGGCAATGTTTATAAAATATTATTACTCGTTCAATAATACTATATACAGTACATTCACGATAAAATCAATATTTTACAATATAACAGATTTATAAATTTAGAAAAATGTAAAATAATGATATTGTTGGACAATATTTCACATATGTCCTCACATTTTTTGCTCTCGTGTTTGAAGTTATATCGAACATTCTACAACGAATTCTCTGATAAAATATAAAACTAACGATTCTCGTGCGGGTAAAGTATGACACGATGAAACGAGATGTTCGATTGCGTATTTATATATATTATCCGTTATTATTAAGTGAACACTCGTAGTGGAAGAAGATAAAATTCAAAACGGAACGCGGACGAAGATAAAGGAAAAATAAAAAGGGAACAGAGACGAAATACAGGGAATACTCTGTGTGATATAATTGCACGTGTCCTAAATTAAAAGCAAGAATTGCGAATCTCCTTTCTTATCTTTTCTCCTTTTTTTTTTTTTTTTTGTTTCTTTCGTTCGTTTCTGAATACTTCCTTATCACCTATACGCGCAAGTAAGATTAAAGTATGGTACAACTGCTTTTGGAAATTAGCTCCTTTAGAATCGTCCGATCACATCGTGTAAAAATATTAGCGATGGGCGCCGATATACATATACTCTAACTGTACGGTTTTAAGTGCACGTAAGTATACAAATAGCGCAAAAAACGACTAAGTAATGTCAACGTTCCTTCGATCTTCATCGATTCTCTCCGATTAACTTTCAACGAAGAACATTCCCGATTTATGTTCGCTTAATTTTTATTCTCAAATAAAAAAAAAAAGAACACAAATATTACCATGAATTTTCTTCATTCTCCAAATATACCAAACCAAATGAAAATCGAAAGTACACACCATCGACCAAAACATTTGTTAACATACTCCGTGTTTGTAACATTTATCCTGAAGGAGGCTCTATACGTTGAAATTTTGAAACGCGTTGCGACGCATATATATGGATATCCACATCTACGTTTCGCGATATATCTTACGATATACGTAGATCTGTATTGGCGAATCGGTATCAAAATGAACTTGTATCGATGCAGAAATCAGGATTCCGAACATACTTTTGCAAGAAATAAATTTTCTTCCAAAAGAAATCTTCTTTAATTTTTTATTTCTTACGGTCAACGTACTTCTTACTAATGAGAATAATACTGGAGTTGGAAACTAACCAGACACCTTGAACCACATGATTCAACGTATCACGTCGCAAATTCAACGTATCACGTGCAAGAAGATCGCAAAGGTAAACTGAAACTGATAAAAATTTCATGAAAAATTTCATGCATAACGACATGTTTCAACGTATAGAGCGGGCTTTAGAGAGGCAAACCTCGAAAGATACCTATTTTCGATCGTTATATAATAGTTAGAAGAAAAGGAAACGGATGCAACGATCCGCGGGCGCGCGACAACGGGCCTAACATTTTAAAATACCAAGTAAACGATTCATTTTCTATCATTCACCCTCGTCACACACCTCGTTGTTCCAAAGCTCAGCTCGCTGGCGTCACTGGGGACACCGTGAACGGCGTCACCTGATACAGAAAACACCTGTTGCATACCCTGACAGGCTTCGTGTGCCCATAACGGGGCAGGGGAACGTTGTTACTGCTGCAACGACCGCAGAACACCTTGCCACAATTTCTGCAATGGTGTCTGCGTCTCACCACCGTGAACCCTGCTTGACACGCCATACAACGAGGCGCGTCGTTGTCCGGTATCCAAGCTGGTGCCCTCTCCACACACTCCTCGCCACGCTCGGTTATGGTCGCTACAAGCAAGATTATCTTGTGTTAGTAACTATACGAAATTTTTAATAGATGCATTTATGTACAACCAAAGAAATATTATATTATAACTAAAGATTATATATATATAAGGCATGTAATAATTTCTGAAATGAGTTCTAATGCTCGTAATTCGTGATCCGAGTTTGCAGCAATAAATAAAAAGTAATATCAATACTATACAGAGTATGTTAGAAATAGGTAGCCAAATTTATATGGTATAACTATGGTACATATATGGTATCGTATCCCACGTACCCTAAAATTTTCCTTTTTGAAATGTAAACTTTTCCCGTTTATAAGGCAGCATCGTAGGAATGCTTAAAAATTGAAGTGGAATGCTTACATTCTGCAACATGTGTTTTGCACTAACATTCTAAACACTGTCAAAAGTAGGTATTCAAAGGCTCCTGCTGTATATTCTGATGGTATTCACTTCATGTAGCAATAAACTGGTCTTTTAGTATTATCAGACTGTCAATAGGATTATTATCGTAAATTATACTTTTTCGATGACCTCGTAGATAGACAAATCGCTCATACCCGAAGTGAATAACTGTGCAGTCGATATTAATCCGGCCATCCAGGTAACTGCCTTATTTATCAGATAATTACGTCTTATTTATCAGTTAAGTAAACTTATTTACTGTGACATAAACTGTCTTCGATAGCACGATAATTTATTCTAAACACTAAATTATTTCTGAGAGAAGAAGTGTTGATAACGCTCGTAATATGGAGACAGTTGATCATGTCAAATTTCAAAGTATATATGCAAATTTGTATCTTGAAAAGAGAAAATTTTGAAAATTTCACGAGACAATATCTTGTGAAAAAATAAGAAGAAAATATAAAAGAACGTTAATTCATAGGACGTTTTCGAGAAAATCGAGTTTGAAAATTTATTTTAAACTTTATTTTGGAATTTTATTTCAAGCTTATTTTCCTCGAAAACAAAACATTTTTGGAAAAAATTTTATTCCATATATTCGACTTATTTTCGCGTGTAGAATAACGTCCTGTCGATCATTTATTTGTCCAGTCTGAAATTAACCATATTCAAGTACGCTTGACAAATCTTCAAATTCGATTTTCTTGAAAACGAGGAGTCATAATACGAACAGGTTTTATTCTGTTTTCTTCTTATTTTTTTATAAAGAATCATCTCATGTCCGCTTAAACATGTTATACGGCCTGATCGGTATGATCCATTTTCATTCCTTATCCGTAAAGTAAATATGGTATTAATGTTTGGTCACCTTTCTCTGAAACACGCTGTATAAAATAATATTCACATCATGGTTTGTTTAGAATTAATTAGCATTTCAAGATCAATTCTCCGAGGGTGAACATAATATCTAATTTATTTTACTATTTTACTAGGTATTGCTATTGTTTGAAATATTTTCTGGGAAACAGAGCGTGTAACCGTGAACTTTCTCCGATATTAATATCATCAAAAGTAATGATAAAGATACACACTAGATAGAGCAACAGAGCTGTTCAATTAAAATTAGAAGATTGTATATAATTAAAAATTAACCATCGTATAATCATTACTCGCCTGTATAATTTGCAATTTAATTTTATTATTAGTTCTTTAAAAATTCATATACCACCCGTGTGTTAACGAAACGTGTAATGAAATTATATTATAGTGATCACTTATTACCCAGATAATTTCGATACATCCAATTATTCTTTGTTCGTATCTAGACTCCACGCGTGTTTCAATACATACAATTTTCTTAAAGTACAGATATCAGGCTTATGAAAAGTTGGGCATAAATAAAGGAAAGAATACGTACACGTATTATGATCGGTGGTGATGGCAGTCTCTTCCAAATCGTCCTCGTATTCTTGTAATAAATCCTGTCGATCATGATTTGTAACCGTATCATTCAACGGACTTGTCACATGATTTTCAGATACTGAACTTTCATCCTTTATCTCACCGTCTTCTACGGTTTGACTACTGTTCATCAGGAACACACACTTCAAAATATTGCGCAGATCCGATGCGAAATTGGTCTGCAATTGATCTGCCACACCGGCTATACAAACGAATAAACGATGAACGAGATCCTCGGATGACCTACAAAAAGGATTAGCAAGGAATTAATTGCCAAAGAATTTATAATGAAGCGATTGAAACAAAAACAAAAAATTAAGAATCATGAAACGAAGAAAAGCAAAATAAACTTTACCGAAATTTCGCTCGAATCTTGTAATTGTTCGCAATCTCAGCGGCCTGCATAGCCAAGGCTATCTCCTCGTCGTCCTGACAATCGCTCTGAAACTCGCTGGTTTCCGAGCTTGAGTCACAGCAACTCGAGCAGCTCGAACTGGACCCAACATCCGGCTTATGAACCAGGATATGATCCGAACTGACCGACTGCGTCCCTTGAACTGTGGATGCGTTCACCAACCTCACAGCTCGCGTGGCTCTCTGCGTGTTATTGTCTTTTTGTATTCCATACGACACGGTCTGCATCGTGACCGGCGAGATTATCTCGTTAGCCAGGCCGCTTTTATCCGTTCTTGGTCCCAAACCATCGTTCATCAGTTCATTAGGACTTCTATTTCCTAATTTTCTCTTGGTCTGCTCCGACCTGGGATTAGCTCGTTCGTACTTGTCTCTCTTTTCAAAGTCTCTCCTCTTCATTCTGATAATTTGCTCTGACCTAGATCTCCTATGGTCGAGAAGCTTTCTATTTTGCGGAGACGAGTTTCTCTGAGCTCTGGAAGCGATACTAGAAGTCCTCTGGCCTGATCCAGGCGTGCTGCGAGTTTCGAAGTGCTGCAATCGCGGACTAGCGTGAGGGCTGCTTCCAAAATTAGGCATCTGCCTGGTGTTCTGGCTGGGATGCAGACTTGCTCCGTAACTGATCAGCCTAGGATTCAAACAACGATCCGTCGAGTTTGATCTGGAGCTCTCCGTGCTCGCTGACGAGCGTACGTTTTGGAAGTTCTGCATCCTGCTCTCCTGTATCCCGTGATGAAGTCTTTGCCCGTTCCGTTCGTGTTTACGTTGATGCCGTCTCTTCTGCTTCTCGTCCTTCATTTTCTTCGACGTTGTCATCTTATCCTGGGTATACTGCTCGATCTTCGAGCCGATCTTCTCAATATTCTGCGACGTGGACGGGCAGTTTTCACATTTCAGGTCGCTCCAGAATTCTTTCCTTGAAGTAGACGCGTCAATGCTTAAATTCAGATTTTCCCAATTTTCTGAATAATTGATCTGAAAGCTAGACTGGTTCGAGTCGCAGACGGAAATCTGCCCGTTGCCGTACGCGACTCCAACGAACTCTTCGTTCGTCCCATCGAAGTTCGACGATATTCGTGGAATGTTTTTCACAGCCTCTGTGTTGGCCGCGTGCAGATTGTGCACCTCGATCGAGTGGTCCAACGACGCGACTGTCTTCACGCTTCTTAGACTACAGACGCACGAGTTATCCGATATCGTGGAGCTCTTTCTCTTCGGTGAATTCAAATTGGAACAAGAATAACTGGTATTCTCTTGCGTATCTTCGTCATCTAATCCGTGCTCGTCCTCTTGGATCTCGTTGGCGAAAGTCTTCTTCTCTTCGGGACTTTTATCGTACAAACTGGTATTCTCTGACGAAATCACCGTACAAATTCCCGAGTCAGTCTGCTCGGAGATCTCGTTCTGACACTCTCCATCCAGCAACAAATTCGATAACGTTTTATTCGCCTCGGATATCAGCTTCTTCGAATCCAAGTCAGGCAAAGAGTTTTGAATGTGTACCGTCTCACCAGTCACGTTGTTCTCGTGCGACACTTGGTTCAGCAGGTACTGCGTTTGAGGGATTTCGATGTGATGATCAGAGCTGCCTAAAATCTCGGTGATATCCGAGGTGATAAATTCGTCTTGCTGTTTGTGTAATTGTTCGCCGCATCTATTTTCGTTTACGCTCGAAACACTATCTTCTGGAACAACCTGCTCCACCATCGAATCTACCATTGAAACAGGACTCGCGGGACATTCTATTCTTCTGGAGCAAGGACTATCGTCGCAAGATAAGTATCTACTGCTGTTCGAAGAGCTAGCTGGCTTTTTAATATGATACTGCACTTCGTCACCAACACTTTCTCGTTCACTGGATGTCCTCGTGTTACCGTTACACCTCACAGCCTCTTCGTATCCGTTCACGGATATGTTTAAGCGATTAGGCCCGGTTTCTATCATTGTTCCCCGGTCCTCCACCTCCTGATCGCTATTCCCTTCTGTCAAACGGCTTTCTTCCTCTAAGATTTGAACCACGTCGTCCGCCACCTCGTCCATATTGTTCCCCGTGTTTCTCGTCACTGTGTAAAAATCTACGATGAAGTCTTTACAGTTCGGATAACCGGTATAAAAATTGTGGACGAACTCCTCCAGGTCGGGAATGTCCTGGCACGCGGACGACTTTGACGACTGCGTGATGGGACCCGGCGGCTCCTCGTTTGAGCACAGCAGTTTCTCCAGCATGTAAAGCTCGCGGTTGTTTAACGTCCAAAGAAGTTCTCTTATTTTTAGGAGAAGCGACTGTAACGGAAAGAGAAACTACCTTTAATTTTGCAGTGATTTTGGTTTATCTTTCAATTGTTATTACATGTTCATTTGTCTTATTTTAACGAAATTCTTTAATTGCTTTATTAAATAAATCTATCAAATTAGTAAAATAATAAAATAAATGTATTAAAAAAAACGCTTGCTTAAATTTTGCGTTTGCCAGTTTTTGTTACTTAACCGTGTAGATATTTCAAATATCTAAGAATTCATGATAGAAAAAAGTGGACCATGTTTTTGTAGAATTATTTTGAAGTTACATTTTCTAAACGTATCTATGACAGTGGACACATATTTGAGATACGTTTAATTCAATTGGGATGAAATGTTGGCTATGTAAATAAACATAATGGATTGAAGTTGAAATACGTGATTTAAACGTGCATAAAACGAGTGATATATGATAGCTACAAAATAAAAAGATCGCATACGTTCTGTATTTGAAAATTGATGTCCAACGATGTCTTGATAAGAAATCTTCTGGCGTTAACAAAAATAAAAAGTATATAAATAGTATGGCTATATAAAGGAAATTAAAAGCCCATTGAAGATAACTCTAATTATTAGTATTTTATAGTATTTTAGTATTGTATTTTTATATCTGACTAAATTAAATCTATTTATAATCCGCTAAACTTACTTTGAAGGAAGAAACCGGAATTTTTCATTATCTATGAAAGTTCGTCGAACTTTTAAATTATGCAATCTCTGCGCAAGTCGTAATTTTACATTCAACGCTGAATCACATTAAATTGTCGCGTAATCTATTTTATCTATCCAAAATTGCACGAAACTTGAAATCAAAAGTCGAAGTTACCTCGGAATTTTGAAACTTCCATGCAAAATATAATGATTTTCAATTATCACTACTGCATTTTCATCGATTCCTCTGCTTTCGTTTCTTCCACATCAAAACTATCAAGATTTATTAAAATAACGTGTTCCATATTTTTTACGATCGAAGACTACAGAGAAGTCTAAGAGAAGAGAAGAAAAGGATAAATGACATGTTCTATCTTTTTTACAGAAAAAGTTTCAAAATTGTGTAAGTGATGCTTAATTACAGCCGACTGTAATCGGCGATCTCCGCTTACCCTAAAAGGTCTAAACACTTCGCTGATGTTGTCGGGGGAATTGAGGCACAGAGGGCCTCCAGGCGGAGCCAAGAGGCCAGAAACAATCGCCAAACGAGGAATAGTAAACATCAGAGCCGGCTCGTAATTATCTACATCGGCCTGGCTGAGCAATCCACGTTCGAGAGCTCTTTGCAGAGTCTCCGAAAATAAAACGCAAACGAGCTCCTGCTGCTCGTACTCCTTCGTCGATTTCACTGGCACCATGGCGCCCACATAGCACAGCTCGAAATCAGCGAACAACCGGTCGAAGATCTTTAACGACTCGATCAGCTTCTCCAGGGATGGGTCCAACGGGTATTGCGTCTGAAAAAGGTACTAATCAATAGAAAAGTTAGGTGATTAGTATTTCAAATAGAAAGTATCATTTTTTGAAATAGAAAATATTTGATAATAACAGTATAGTTATTATTTTTAATATTATTTATTGTTGTTTAATATTACATTTAAAGGATTCAGAGAGAAAAAGACAGGGGCAGAGACAGAAACAAATAGAAAGGCGCAAGTTAGTAACAAAAATGAGACAAAGAATTATCTAAAATATTTTTTGATGAATTTTTAATTCTTTATTTAATTTATTGTTTAATTGATTTAATGTTTGTTATGGTATAGATTTTTCTATTAAAACCTAACTCAACGTCAATAAAATATGTAATTACATAACATATTAAATACATTAGTAATTCTAAAATTAACTTCATATAACCCATAAAAAAATCTTGGAACTATATTAAAACGGACATAAAACGTTGGACCATTTAATTAAATGCAAATATACAAGATTCAGAAACTGGCTGGCCTAATTACTCTGTTGTCTCGCTGGAATGATTCCATGTTCTTAACTCGCGCGAAAGCATGCATAAATTTGATTCACCCACTACATTGTTTTTACTGACAATGAATCATTGTTTTCCTATAACGTTTCAAAGGTTTACTTGCTGCCAAAAACAATATTATGGCTAAACTACGGATGTTTACGCAATTATGGGAGAATTAAATATGCAACAATGTACTGAATGTGTATTATTATATGTAAAAATACACAAATTATGTTTTCATAATAAAATACTTGTTACGATAATATCTAATAATATCTAGAGTGGAGAACAAATTTTTATTCAACCACACTATTCATCTCACCTCTCTTCGTGTTTGTATCCCTTTAAACGTCTTCTTTTTCAATTTTCAAATACATATTTTATTTGTGAAAAGTATAAAACAGATTAAATATATCGCGGCATATAAATATATCGACTATCGAAACTAAACGATATTTAAACATCTATTATATGCATATATACATATATATATATATATATATAAATTCAAAAAGAACATCAGATTTAAGTTTCGTTCCTTTACTTGTGTCTTCATAAAAACATGAATTTGCATAACGTCCGTTCGGTTATATTCATACAATCGTGAACTCAATATTAATTACGTTTATTTATTGACACACATTTGTCATTCGGACACATCAACGATATACGATGGATTATTAAATAATGAATGGAACGAGGGAAAAACAGAAAAACAAAATAATACAAATCATAATGCTTCGATTACGAGAACCTTTTTTATTTAAAAAAATGCCGACACACGAATAATTACCGTGTCCTCGAAAGATCGCACGAAAGAGAAAGTTGCATGTACTCAGCAATGCAGAGTATGTGTTGAAAAGCAACTTTAAAGCGTGCTTCTTGCACGACAAATTTCTACAGAAAGTGTATTTCACTTTCGTAAATCAATGGACAGGATATAAATATTCTATAAGCAATATTTAAAGAAAGAGAGAAAAGTTCTGCAAATTTAAAGGTTACCTCGCAATAAATAAAGTTTATTTTTTGATAGAAACTAGAGAAATGAGAATAACACAATATAAATAAATACATACAAATTGATGGCTTTCTCCTTTCCGCAAGAGGATTTTTTATTTCAGTAAATCTCATTTCAATATTTCTAAAGTGTGCTACTAGAACTACTCGTTGATCTTACCATAAAAGTGGGCAAAGTGCAAACGGTTAATATGGCTGTCATATCGAATGCCATAGGCAAGGATTCAAGTCCGGAAGTCCAGAGCCTAATAAAGTACACGTTCCTACGATTAACCTGAATATTTTAGGGTTCAACGTTTGCTCCAAATGCACTTACGTAATTCTCGAGATCGACAGACAGAAAGGGAAGGAATGTAGAAATAGGACACGTCATACTATCATGATAAAACACATATTTTAAAGAAACAACATCTAATCATCCTACCGGCAACGCGAATTTTTCAAGCTCAAAGCATACGAGGAACAGACTAATACGCGGTTGCCATAATTCGCTAAATTCGTGTAAGAAAATCATATAATATTCAATTCAACATTCTGATTCTTTCTCCTTGTATCCTCGACTTTTTATGACAGTCGATGATTAGGTTTTGATATTTCTATCTTCTCATATACATTGCATAGTGTGTCCATACGTCCAACGTAAAGTCAACTGTTTCTTTCCTGATATGATTAACAATTAACGAAAGGACGAAATTTAATCAACGACATATTAACAAAATCGTTTCAAAATAAGCATACGTGCATTATCAACTAACTGTGTAGTACTAATATGTACTAGTCTAGTACTAATCTACAACAAATGTGGAAAAATTAATTTGTCACATAAGTGGACGAGCCATCAAGTTCCGAAAGATATACAGAACCGCGATAATTTTAAAACTATTTATTTCTCGCCAAATACAACATTGCTTAGCCAAACCATTGTGCTAATTAAAAATATTTTTCACTTCTCTCAATGAATATTATAATCTCACAAAATCTTAAGCCGTTCCTTTGTAACACCCTGTATAACTAAATCCGAGCCTATCAGCTGATTCGACATAAAACGATTAGGCGACCCATCGTTAGCACTTGGATAAGCACGTATAATAAATACCTTCAGGTTCATGTGACCTTTTAACGCGTGCTCTCTGAGCAAATTCCTGACGATATCCAACGACTTAGTCAAAGCCCTTGCCAGCGGTCTCATGGCTGAACTTTCAGCCTCCCTGTTCATGATCGAGGACCCAGCTGCCAAGCATTCAGCTCCGAACCACAGCTGTCCAGCGAGATTCTCCTGCATCACGTCGTCAGGAAATTTCACCCTGAAGTCTCGGTTCGCCCTGCTCTCCGGAATCAGATCGTCCATTATTTGACTGCATATCGTTAACACTTTGTCCTGACAGTGGCGCAGCTGGTTGACCAACGTGGTGCATCTTTCTGGCTCCTGACGACCATCGAACGAGTCCAACTCGCAAGCGACCGCGTTCAAAGACTCGTCCGCGTAGAAAAACTGAGCGAGCAAGCTCGTGTCGTCCCTCTGTAACATAAAGACGCATTTTGTTAGAAAGTCCCGTATTGCAAAGTGTGTTTTAATATCAGATTCATCGGTCGGTCTAAATGACCGAGATCTCAGTTGCTTATTATAAGAAGTTTTATTTTGGATTTCGTTACATGATTTTTCAAAACATTATGAATTTTTTTCGTTATGTACATACGAAAAACAAGAGACAAAAATACGTTCTGTTAGAAGGTTCTATGGATAAAGGTATTTTAACTTCAGATTTATCAATTAGCCAAAACGACTGGTTTCAATTACTTTTTATTTAAAAAGTTTGTTTTGGATCTCGTCGCGTGTGTTTTCAAGTAACTACAATATATATATATAAGTGATATAATTATATATATGGATTATTTTATCAGATTGTCCGAAAAGTTTCTTTCGTTTTATAAGGAAATAATAGACACACAATGTTTTTTGTTTTCTATTAGTTTATTGAAGTATGCACGAACATAGTAATAGAAATAGAACGAAATGGAGCACACTTAATTCAATAAAATAATATAAAACAAAAATTGTCATTCATCTATTATCACCTTATGAAACGAAAGAAACTTTCCGGACAACCTAATACAAATTCCTCTTTTTCTGAGGCATATATACACGAGGTATACTTTAATACAGCAAAAGTTACGTTAACTGGTTACGAATGAATTGTATTTAGCTTAGGAAATGTAATTTTTAGAAGCTTACAGCGCTGTGTCACGTCAGTTGTGAATACTATTTCAAATATTTGAATATTACACTAGCTCTTCCAAGTAAGAAAAATCACTTCCTCCAAAAATTCCATTGACCAAAGTAATTCAGAGTGTAGAAAGGACAAGGTGCTCTGCTTATCAGGGACGCTAAAACTTTAGACTAAGGAATACAAATATCTAAAGTTAATATTTATCAATAACGATAAACTATACATTTGAATCGTAATAATTATAATATTCTTTTGCAACAGCCAAAGTATGTGGACTCTGTTCAATTAGACTCTGATTTACATTACCTTAAAAATATTAAATTATTATAAAATATTAATATAAAAATTACCTTAAAAATGCTATAAATGTTTAAAGTTTTGTTAAAGATTTGATCATTTCATTTGAAAGAAATAAATGAAGTAAAATTCCAATATTTTGAAATCATCGTGATACAATTAACAATATGGAAGAATCGACATACGTATACCAATATTTATTTTTAACTGAATGCAATCAGAACATTTTGTCACGTAGTGACTCGTCCTTTCAACACGATCACGGAAAAATTTCCAAGATATCTTTATTGCATTCGAATATGACCATGGAAAGATGAATTAACAACGACAAAGATTATAGTTTGCTTGTCTCGTTGTGTTACGTTACATATCTCGAGCTTTATCAGAAGACATGTTTAATTAAGTTCTTCGTGTATTCGCGAGGTCATGAAGGCTACGTGCCTAGCCAATCATTATCACGTAAAAAAATTCGATAAACGCCCTAACACAGAGATAAGCTTCCGTCCTAGCGTACTTCTAAGAACGTATTTAATTATTTCGACGATATCATTTTTCCATTTTTTTTTATTCACACGATCGTGCATAATTTGGAACTATTAATAAACTATAATCTTGCATAGTGAAATAAAATGTTTCTTTGTTCGTTACATTTCTCTCTCTAAAAAGGAAGAAAAGTAGAAACACTAACAATAGAAATTAATCCTATGATTTTTTTTTAATACTACTTACATTTATAAAAAAAACTATTGCTTCGCTATTAAAGGATTAGTTTAGTAAATGAATGTATTACAATCTTAATAATCTATAACAAAATAGTTGTTACAACATGTAACAAAATAGATAATATTTGATATGTGTTAAATACAGAAGAATTAAAAATCTGTTTGGTAATCGTCATAATATACAACAAAACATAAGCAACATCGTCCTCGATCACTTAGGTTATCATTTTGATCCGATATTGTTTTCGTTCTGGCCGTGGCTTTCGAATGGAGGCCACATCTAGTGAATAAATTCACCTTGTGCTGTACAGCTTAAGATAAATATGGCACTGTTAAGTATCTTGGCCAAGTCTTGTAATATAAGGAATTTCTCGATAGAGTATTTGCCAACTACTAAACACGAGTTCTAGGAATACAAGCTGGTATTACACACACAAATTGTCAAGCTAATAACAACGGTAATTAACCTGCGAGTATCTAAAATTCAAAACAGAAAAAAGTTATTAAAAAATTCAAAAGTTCTGTCAAGTAACAAACTGGATATATTTTGTTTTATTCTAGACGTATATATTTTATTTTAGATATTACCAAAGATACTATTATTAACGGTTATATAGTCTTCGCATTGTAAAAATCGATGCAACATAATGATATTAAAAATACAATTTCTACTATGTTTCTTTTAAACCTATCAAACCATTCTTAACGTTTAATAATATTAAAATATTGAAAATAGTAAAATATCGCTCGTCTTAATAGTTACACTCTTGGCTTCTACAGAACTTCGTCAACTATATTCCTGGACTTAAAAGGTTCTTCCTACCTTTCGCTGTTTTACATTAAAATAATCGTTTTTCAATCACAGAGAATATGTTTACCATGTTTTGCGTTTAAAATTCCAACCTTCTCTTCATACGTCGTGAAGCAACCAATATGTACATTCTATCAATTTTAAAAACACGTTTCGTCTCTCTTTTTTTTCAAATACGAATCAACAAATACCATTCATCGATATTTTTACATTGGCAAGAAAACCTTTTTATCACGTTGTTCCTTGTGTACAACAACGTGAGTACTTTACACTAACGAGGCAGTTTCTAACAATGAACAACTAAACTGTCGCACGCAGAATTCTATATCTAATAGTAGAACACGATAACAACAGACAAATATACAATCAGTCACATACTTCTACTTACACCCCTTAAATATATAGTATCATAGTAAAACGTTAGCTCGACGTACTTTTATTGACACACTAAGACACATATTGTTCAAATGTAACGCAATTTGCTCACCTCTACTACACCTAGCAAGGTGTTAAAAGAATGAAAAATACAATGTTATAACAATTGCCTGTTATATCTATGTACACGAAATCAAAAAAATGGTAGGTCTAATATTATATGAACATATTATTAATAATTCATAAAACAAATAATACAAAGTTGATAAAGTAAATAAATAATATATAATTAATAAATATATGAATTAATATCTCGTAGGTAACGCAATTTTATCTCAAGATTTTTATGACACGAATCTTTTAATTTTTCTAATTTCTTTTACGTACACATTAATAAGAACAGTGTTAATACATAAATATAAATAATTTCGTGACAATACGCATTTTCAATCTCTTTGATAAGTAAAATACACAAAATTGCATAGGCGTATGTAAACTTTCGTAACTGATTGTACGTAGCTACGCTTCAAAAACACAATTCGTGTGCCATGTATTCCATCTCCTCTTTTCCCTTTTCCTGCTTTATATCCTTTCTCCGAAAATTAATCAAATTAATTGGACATTTCCTTTCCGAGTGACGCAACGATCAGTTATTTTCCGTGCCGGTTTGCCGCGAAAAAAGGAAGAGAGAAAGAGAAAAAGAAAGGAAAGCGGCATTCTCCAGAGATATTTATAAATTGATATGAGACCCGTGTTCCTCAGAACAATGACTCTAATTATACCTACGCGATGTAATTAAAAGAGGGAGGGAGGATCCCCTGTGCCATGTTTTATATTCCGCAAACAGTGATCTTCAATGGAGGCGTACAACTACGATCCACTACTAATTACACATCAAACATCATTTATTTGTTTAACTGCCAAACCATTTTTTTTCTCTCTCTGTTACTCTGTTCGCCTTAACGAACGACTGGAAAATAATCATTTCAAACTTCGTACCATGCACCGTCTACAAAAAAGGTGATTCATTCTTTTTATTCTTGCTTATAAGGAATTAATTAATTTTATTCGTACCTGCAAAAGAATTCATTTACAAACGTGGCCAAAAGGAGTTAAGGTGTGAAAGAATCAATTTCGACTTTTTTATATTTTTTTTATAAGTAAGGATATACTGGAATAAGTATCGGCAACACAATTTACAATAAATATTATGTATAAGTAACGACAATGAAATTCTACTGTGCTTGATTGCTGGCTGAAAATGGAAAATAACCCTCAGACTTAAAGGACGAAGAGTCGTAGAAGGAGATGACTGGGTCGTTACATATTGATCTATGATTCCGTTTCCTAGATTACATCTGCGTCATTATACTAATGGTCATTATACTAATGGATCTCTAGACAAATTGTGTATAAATAAGTTACGCGCAAAATGTATAATTTAAGCGTTTTGGAAGCATGGTGCGATAATATTGATGGAAGCGAGCGTGTAATACGTACAATTTATTTAAATTTGATACATAAATTACTGACGAATTCCATGCAGATATAATGGCTATTCACATGATATTTTCGATTGTGTGGCAGAATTCTCAAGAAGAGCGATTACGGGACCACATTGATTCAAGGAAGAAATGATTCGTATTAACGATAACTCGCACAACCTAAACGACGAGATTAATTTCGTAATTGTCGAAGAGGAGGTCTGTGTAATCGACAAGTGAGTTCCCACAATGTTCGTATCGTCGAACCGTCGACGAATAATTACGAATTATGAAACGTTCGTGACGATCTTCTTCGACGATTGGTTCGATATTAAGGTAGAAAGATTTTTTAAAGTCACAAAGAATATGTTAAGGCGAGGAGGGGTGGGGTGGGGGTCTCGTGCAACAACAATAAAAGCAAAGCAAGCAGTTTTTATGAATTTGTTTAGGTCAACTACTGATTATACGGGACTAGAACTTCTTGGTATGCAAATATTCAGATACAAATGTAATATTTTAATTTTAGTTCCTATTGTTTATTATCTATTATACAAGCCTTGTGATCATTCTCCATAATGTAATCATTGTTAGAGTGCAGTATA